TGCTGTGTGGTGTGTTGCTTGTGTGTGTGTTTGTGTGTGTGTGTGATGTGTGTGCGTGCGTGTGTGTGTGATGTGCGTGTGTGCTGTGCGTGTATGTGTGTGTGTGTGGCGCTGTGCGTATATGCCGATGCGACATTGTGTGTGTGTGTGGTGTGGTGTCGTGGGTGTGTGTGTGTGTGTGTGTGTATGCGTTGCGTGGTGTGTGCGTGTGTGTATGTGTGTATGCATGTGCGCGTGTCGCCGCGCCGAACGTGTGCGATATGCGTATATGTGTATGGCTATTGTGCGTGTGTGTGTGCGTGCGTGGTGTGTGTGCGTTGTGTGTGTGTGTGTGTGTGTGTGTGTGTGTGTGTGTATTATGTATGATGCGTGTGTGTGTGTGTGTGTGTGTGTGTGTGTGTGTGTGTGTGTGTGTGTGCGCTCGCATGTGCGTGTACATGTGCATGCGTGTGCGTATGCGTGCATGTGTGTGTGTGCCTGTGTGTGCATGTGAGTGTGGTGTTTATTGTTTTAACAAAACATTAAACCGAATTACCTAGATTATCAGTTAGATACAACGTTAGCGTATATACTTCTTTAGATTAACACCCATTACACGCAAACCCTCCACGTAGACATATGGCCCACGGAGCCTACCAGCCTCCAACAAAGCTCCAGCTTCTTACGCGTGTATACGATATGTAAATGCCCGCATCCTGCAGTAAACCCCTCCGCTGCTGCTGCTACATCCTCCGCATCCCTAGGAGCAATACCAGCTCGTTAACATCGCCACGCCCTATTTTGTTTATTGTTTCAGCGGCGGGTAGTTACAATCTCGTCGTGTTTATCCGCAGAGAAACAGCGTTGGCAATTAGTGGGTAGTCGACGCAGAGTTAAGTGCCTTCGATGTTATACACAGCGTCTTTAGCAACAAAACACCTGCCGTGCAGCTTCCCCAGTCTGAATATTTGCATCGTAAAAGTTGAAATTGCGCGGGTGTTGGGTGGAGAAGGGGGGAGGTGAGGGGGAGGGGGTCGTTTTCACCCGTCTACTAGGCTGCTGCTCTACATCAGCATGAAACGTCGCGCGAAAACATCAACTCGCGCGTAACAGGATTCGAATTCTGCGAAGTGCGATTAGATTTGTGATGCGTGGCAGAGGCGCGGGGGCCGCCACCAACAATGAACATCAAAACATTGAACAATTCACAAACCAATTGGAGCGTGGGTTGGGATAAAAGTTCCGTGTTGCGCGAGCGAGAGTGGTACATTGTGGATAAATGCACATCGTCTATTTTTTTTTGAAATTTTTCCGATGGTCTTATAAATGTTTAACATGAAAATTTCAACTCCGCAAAATGCGATGTTTCGTGTTCAGTCTCCGTATTTAATTAAACACAAATATATATATATATACACAAATATATATATACATATATATCAGGAGTAGATAATAGGGATAGATATATATATATCTATAGGGATCAGATATATATATGGATATATAATAGGGATAGGAGTAGATAATAGCCTATTATCTACTCCTGGTATATATTAGTCAGGGAATATTATCAGATATCTGGCAAATCTGGGAATAAATTCCTTACCAAGAACTTTCTTCACCAATGTGTTTGTAAAGATGTCTACTAACATATTTCAAAAGATTTAAATTCAACTCCCGTAGGACAACCCGTGACAGCTGCTGAAAGTTGGGGTGCACGGAACCTTATTCGGGAATTTTTCATTCTGCCTTAAGCAGCTTGTGAGGGGTCAAACTAGGAGTTTTCCATGATCCTGAATTGATTGCAAGCATTTGTTTTGCACCAAAACCACTCCTTGTCAGAAAAACGGCAACACCCACTTTTTCCGCTTGTCGCAAACCCATTTTTTGGTGAAATAAAACATTGTTGGGTGCATGTAAGTTAAAAAGTAGCTTTATTAGTTTATTTCAATTTCTCGAATACTCGTTTGAAACTGCTCCACAATGTCAAATGCCTCAGGAGTCAAGGTCTGAGTCTTCTCCAGACTCTACTTCATCATGGATACAGTTCTTGCATGAAATGCCTTTACAACTTCCGCATGCTGAGCTGATGCTCTTTTGAAAGTTTCTTCAAATCTCTGTTCAAACACTGCAACTATTGGTGCTGTGTGTCTGGCTCCCATCTTTCCATCAGCTACCTTCTCCATAAAGGTCCTCATTTCAGCAAGTTCCTCCTCAGTGAAGGCGTGTTTCATGACGTACTAAAAGATGGCTGCATCTATCAGGAGGTGAGCGCGGATCGCCTTGTCAAAACACTCTCCATTCAGGATTTGGTCGACCGTCATACTCCCTGGATAGATCAGCTGGATCAACTCTAGGAGTCTAGAATCATCCACGATATTACCCAAGGACCCGAGGTATGATTTTAGCGAAAGTGAAACCCACCCAACCTGAAGAGATTACTTTACCACCAACCAAGGCGGCGGCCGGGCTAATAGTCCAGTTGCCAAAATGTTGACCCTGCAATGTTAATTACTCTAAACTTTTTTCATGGAAATGTGTTCTATATAGTTAGGAGAGCTGATTTAGCTTGGTTGCTACCTGTGCAACGTTGAGCCGCCGCCGCCGCAGACAATTTCCCTTCCGCTCTATAACTCGGCCCCTAATTGACCTAGCGATACCAAACTTGGTATACTTAC